AAACCATGCTCTGCGATATTTTTTAACAAAATTTATTGGCTTAGTTTCCTGTTTTCTTTCCCCTTTATGTGTTAATTGAAAACAGTTTGTTATTTTCATTGTAATAATTTATATTATTAGACAAAATTCCATTAAAACCATACTGATCGTAAAAGTAGAAATCAGTTTAAATTTATTATGGAAAATATTGTCACTTTTTGATATGCACATTAAGTAATAGAGGTACAAATTACATAAAAACTATTCATTTTTCAGTACTATCATTGAAGTCTTCATACTTTGAACTATTTATGTTGTTTTTGTTCTTTACTAGGTAAATCGTGAATTAAAAAAGTTGCTAGTAGCTTCTGTTGGGGATGATCTTCAGTATCACTTTGAACGTCTAGCCCGTGAAAAAAATCAGCTTATTTTAGAAAATGAAGCCCTTGGACAAAGCATAGCTCAGCTTTCTGAACAGTTAGAGCGCATGTCAATACAGTGTGATGTGTGGCGAAGTAAATTCCTTGCAAGCAGGTACTTTCTCATTTAAGTGATAATTTATGTACTAGTTTTTGCTCTGCGTGTTAAGTCTCTTATCAGTAGCACAGAAGATTTCAGTATGAAAATTCCCTGGATAAGGTACCTTACCAAAGGATATGGTGATTAATATTTAAGATCTAGACTCACCCTTTTCATTGTTAAATAAGTCTCCCTAAATTGAGAAGTGATAGCACAAGGATCCTTATATAGTAAACTGATAACCAAAATGTCAGCAGAAAGACAGTCTGCTTCTGTTAAGATTTACATCAGAAAACTGATAGTAACCTTGCAGTGAGTTGTAACTGACTCAATAGCAGTGTGTTTCTTCAATTTAGACTTGGTTTCTTAGGTTTAGACTACTGTCTTATAAGGCCAAATTAAAGTTATAAATTCAGACCTCTACTAAATACTAAAAATACAAAAGACCAAACTGAATTATTTTGACCCATTTTCTCTGAAGAACTTAAATATCATTCTCACTCCCTAAAACAATACTTACTGTTCTTGTCAGGTGCCATTGAGTTAATTCTGACTCATAGCAGCCATATGTGATAGAGTAGAATTGCCCCATAGCATTTCCTTGGCTGTAATTTTTACAAAACCAGGTTGCCAAGTCTTTTCTCGCATACAGTTACTGGATGGATTTGAACCTCCAACCTTTAGGTTAGCAACCATTGTGCCCCTTAGACTTCTTAAGATAACATTACTTATCCCTACTGCTCTATTCCAATAGTATTTTTGACTGTAATTACAGTTTCCAGACCTTTTGTTCTCCATGCACACACAGAAATTGATAACATTTGTATGGTAGAGAAAGGTACTTTCCATCAGAGTTGTAAACCCCAGAATCCCAGTCCAGGCCTCTGGACACCTTGATTATTAGAAAACTCTGCTACGTTATAAATGATTGGCATTCTCCCTATCTCCCCTCTCCCTTAACTCTTGAATTACTGGGGAACAGGACTGGGGCATTCACCACTAGGTATGTATTTCTCCAAACTACAAAATGGAACTGCCACATGGAGTTACCAAGGTTCTAATCTTTATGGAAACAGACCAAGTGCTTAACCACTTCATCACCAGGGTGTCTTGTATATCTTTTCAGTGCTTAGCAAAGTGCTTACTATATAATGTGCTTAACTATTTAATTATTTGGATATTTCTTAAAAAACAGATTAAGTTCTTTTCCTGTATTTTTAAGAACTGCTGGTCACAGCAGTAGAATTTTAGGAAAATGGTGACTCCTGACTTAATAAACTCTGTGGTACTTTTTGGTAATTGAATAATCACCAGAAGTCCTTTAATTCATTTTCTAACTGTACTGATGCGTAATGCTACTTAGGGAAATGAACTTACTATTTTATTGACTTGTTATCAAAGCTAGTTAAGTTAATTCTCATTGAATAGCTTAAGAGGAAAATAATGTGTAATTTTTTAAAAAACATCCGATTGAAAGACATTTATGGACAATAATTATTAAGCTACTCTGTTCACTTTTGCGGTTATTTAAATTGTTTAATTCGTCAGTAACATTTTCATGTTAAGTCACTGATTGTTAAGAGCTGAGACTTGAAGATTTTTATCTGAGTTTTACTTCCTGCTTATCATCAGTAGTACACTCAAAACAAATTCATATTCATTGCTATCTAATCAGAACTAACTCATACTTGACCCTCCCGTGGGTTTGCAGAGAGTGTAAATTGCAGAGGAGGATATACATAGCCCAGCTTCCTCCCACACAACCCCTGGTGGTTTCAAACCACCAAAGAGACACCACCTTTGGATTAGCCACACAACTCCTTAATTCATCCAGTCGGTAGAGAAAGTATGATGTGTCCTGCCCCCCAAAAAAGAAAGTAAGTTACTGTGCTAATATAGAAATATCTCCAAGATAAAAATAATTTGGGTGGGAGAGGAAGTACAGAAATTTATACTGAATAATCCCGTTTTAGTAAATAAAATGAATATATTTATTGTTGTTGCGTACCATAGAGTTGGAACCAACCCATAGCCTACCCTCTGACAAATTTTGAGAGGTAGTTAATTGCACAGGAGAAGATTGTCCATCTTTCTCCTGTGAAGCAGCTGGTGGCCTCAAATCTCAAACCTTCATACCAGTAGGCAGCCAGAGTTCCCTATATTTATTATTAACACATACAGTCTTATATCTGTTACTGTCCATGGTAACATTCTGTGAAGTAGACTGTTCTGTGATTTGGACAGTATGTAAATACCATATTATATACAGCCAGTACCCAGATTACAAATGAGTTCCATTTTTAATCTATCAAATTTGTATGTAAATTGAAATAGGTACAATCATTTCTTAACATCAGTTAGTCAAATGTTTGTCATACAGCGTTTCTTGCTATACATAAAAAAAATTTAAGAAAAGACATCTTTAATGTTATTGTTAAGTGCCATCGAGTCGTAGATGACCCATAACAACCCTATGAACAAAGTCTTGAACACAAAACTTTCATTTTTTTCTCTAAGTTCATAGAGTTTCCGGAGGTAATACTAAATAATACCTGATAGGATGGTATTACATACAAGGACGACCTGTTAATACAACTATTATTCAAGTATATGTACCAACAGCTAAAGAGGAGGAAATTGATGATTTTTATCAAATTTGGCAGTCCAAAATTGACCAAACATGCAGCAGAGGTGCATTAATGATATTGGTGACTAGAATGCAAAAGTTGGAAACAAAGAAAGAATGGTAGCAACAAAGTAGAGACTCAGTGACAGAAATGAGGCTTGGGATAGAATGATTAAATTTTGTATGTTCAATTACTTATTCATCATCACAGTGGCTATATACATGGACCTCAGAAGATGGACTGCATATAAATTGATTGACTACATCTGTGGAAGAAATCATTGGAGAAGGTCAATATCAGCTGTCAAAACAAGGCCAAGTGCTGACTATGGAACAGATTCATATACTGAAGAAAATGAAAATAAGTCCATGCGTACCAAATATGATCTTGAGTCTTTCTTACCTAAATTTTTAAAAAATCATCGTCAGAATGGTTTTGAAGCATTAACACCAGTGATCAAAGACCAGATGAGCTATGGGTTTGCATTAAGGATATCTATAAAGAGAACAAAAGGTCATTACAAAGACTTAGGAGAAAGAAAAAAACAAAATAGGTGTCAGAACGCATGCTGAAAATTACGCTAGAGCATTGAGAAGCCAGAACAAAAGGAGGAGATGCTGAAATAAAAGATCCGAACAGAAAATTTCAAAAGGCAGCTCAGGAAGATAGCAAACTACTATAAAGGTATGTGCAGAGACCTAGAATTGGGGAGCAAAAAGGGAGGAACTAGTTCAGCATTTCCCAAGCTGAGAAAACTGACATACAAATTCAAGCCTCAAGTTACAATACTTAGGGAGGCTATGGGTAAACTTGTTAATGATCTAGGAGATGTCAAAAGAAGATAGAATATACAGTCACTGTACCAAAAAGAATTGATTGACACAGAAATATTTCAGGAAGCAGGGTTTAGAGCTGTTGTACATAGAGTCACCACTATGAGTAGCAGGCAACGTGACAGCACATAACAACCACCTTATGATCAAGAGCCAATGGTAATGAAGTTCAAGCTACACTAAAGACATTGGCAAAAAACAAGGCCCCAGGAATCAGTGGGATACCAGATGACATGTTTCAAATGACAGAGCAGCTCTGGTTGTGCTCACCAGTCTATGCCAGTAAGTTTGGAGGACTGCTGTCTGACCAATTGACTGGAAGAGATCCATGTTTGTTCCCATTCCCAAGAAAGGTGATCCAACAGAATGTGCAAGCAAGATACTTCTGAAGATGATTCAAAAATTGGTAAAACAGTATGTAGACAAGGAACTTCCAGGCATTCAAGCTGGATATAAAGAGACCAGAGATGTCATTACTGATGTCATATGGATTCTGACTAAAAGCAGAGAACACCAGCAGAATATCTATTTGTGTTTTATTGACTGTGCAAAGTCATTTGACTGTGTGGGTCATAACAAATTATGGCTCACATTGAGAAGAAAGAGAATGGCAGAATAATTTTCATTCTTGATTGGGCTTGTGTGAAATCTGTATCTAAACCAAAAGGTGATTGTGTGAAAAGAGCAAGGGAACACTGCATGGTTTAAAATGAGGATAGATATGTGTCAGGATTGCATCCTTTCTCCCTACCTATTTAATCTGTATGGTGAGCAAATACTCAAGAAGCTAAACTCTATGAAGAATGTGGCACCAGGATCGGAGGAAGACTCATCAGTAACCTTCGTTAAGAAGATAACACACACACACACACACACACACACACACACACACTAGAAGATAACACACCTTGCTTGCTGAAAGTGAGGAGGACTTGAAGCACTTCTGCAGAAGGTTAAACAGTGCAGCCATCAATATGGATTATCTCTGTGTCAAGAAAACAAAAATCCTCACAACTAGACCAATAAATAGGCCAATAAATAAATCTTCATCAATGGAGAAAAGACTGTCAGCAATTTCCTCATACTTGCATCCACAGTCAGTACACTTGGTACTAACAGTCAGGAGATCAGACTGAGTGCACTGGGAAAGTCTGTAGTCAGAGACATTTTGTTAGAAGCAGTAATGCCAGTTTGGTTACTAAAGTGCACCTGATTGAGGCTGTAGTCTTTTCATTCAGTTGCTGTGCATTTGAAATAAGGATGACAGAATTATTGCTGCCTTGGAACTGTCATGTTGTAGAAGAATACTGAAGATCCATAGACTGCCAGAAGAGCAGATATGTCTTGAAGAAGGTGCAGTCAGTGGAGGCAGAGATGATGAAGTGTCATCTCACATACTTTGGGCATGGTGCTAGGAGAGGTTATTCCTTGAAGATGGACATCATGTTTAGAAGGTGGAGGGACAGTGAAGGAGAGGAAAACCCTCAACCAGGTGGATTGACACAGTGGCTGTAGCAATGGGTTAGAGTGTCAGAGATTGTGAGAATGGCACAGGAGAGGACAGAATTCGGATCTGTTGTTCATGGGGTCTCTGTGAGTTGTACTCGAATCGATGACACCTAACAAAAAGAAGTATACATAATATACTAAGGCATCTTTTATGTAATAAAACAGTTGTTGTTATGTGCCGTCGAGTCGTTTGCGACTCATAGCGACAGCCCTAAACTCTGCTTTATCCTGTGACAGTCTCATTGCCTCTGACACACCCATCCCGAGTACCCCATTCACTGAATCAATCCACCTCATAGAGGGTCTTCCCCTCCTGTGCTGTCCCTCTACTCTACCCAGCATGATGTCCCTCTCCAAAGACCTGTCTCTCCTAGCAACATGTCCAAAGTATATCAGACGAAGCCCCCAGAGAAATGTATTTATGTTCATTGCAAAGTGGCATCCATTTGTGTTTGTGAGCCATTGTATGCACCTCAGAACTGTTAAGGATTTACAGCAGTTGGAGCTGCAGACATACATGCAGTCTGATGTTGCCTGAATGGCTGTTATATGGTACATGACTATACTTTCACATTGAAATAGTCATAACGTACTTTTCTAGAAAAAATATATGAGAAAATCTGTTGGCTGTATATGAAAGATGATGGGGATGCTGGGCAAGAGAAAAGGTTTTCATTTTCATTATATATATTAAAATATTTCAATATTTTTCTAAGGGCAGAGGAGTAATTGGATAATGAGTTTTTGTTTGCTTCTTTAAATTTTCTATATTTAAAAACATGTAAGAAATTGTATTTTTTTTTTCAAAATTTGAAGAACCTACACTAAGACACATCAAAGTTCTATATTCTCTCCATACCTAACAAGACTCTAAAGCTAACTATACATCTCAAAAGTTGCTACATAGGAAATTTAAATAATTGTTTCTTGCTATTTTATAACCAGATATTTTAACTAAATCTCTTTAATTAGCTACATTCTTTAATACCTTTTAAATGCTTTAAAATTTAAATTTCACCTTTTAAATATGAAAAATAGACTATTAATCCTTTCATAAGCTTTTAAGAGTTAACAGCAGAAAGATAGCACATAAACTTCTCTATAGAATTTTATTGTCAGAGATTTATACAAAAGATTTTTCTTCTTTTTCAGGGTTATGGCAGATGAGTTAACCAACTCCCGGGCAGCTCTGCAGCGTCAAAGTCGTGATGCACAGAGTGCTATACAAGATCTCCTCAGCGAACGAGAACAGTTTCTTCAGGAAATGTTAGCTACGCAAAAGTAGGACACTTTTTGTGTTTCTGTTGTCCTCTGGTTTCTCCTGCAGTTGTTGCTATTATGGTAGTTTTTATTTTTAATGTTTCTACACATACTGAATTTTACTTAGTTTACACTTTGAATACAACTCTAAATTAGTTGCTTTGTGGAAGGAAAAAAGACTTATAAAAAAGTAGAAGACATGCTTCTCACCTTCCTAGTTGGGAAGAGAATAACTGTTCTGTAGTCCTAGAAATCTCTGGACTTAAAAGTAGCTTTTGAATACCCTTGTAGTTTAAATCATTGGCAAAAGCCAAACTGTATACTTCTCTCCTTTAGAAGATTGTTTTGAGGACTGTTCTGCATTGGAGTTTGATTGTATGTACATATGCTCCAAAACTGTCAAAATCTATATTCTTCATTAAAAGCTGTACTTTTCACTTTTATATATTTGATTTCTGATGAATCAGTAAAGTTTATATAAAAAACATAGTTCATTAGATGTCAAATCAAAATCCCTAGCTCTTACGTTAAAAATAGAACAACAAAAAATTGTTTATGTCATACACACAGTTTTTGTTGTTCTGTTTTTAATTTTTTATAGATGTGTGTGTGTGTGTGTGTGTGTGTGTGTGTGTGTGTGTGTGTTTTCTTGTTGTTGTTAGGTGCTGTCGAGTCATAGATGACTCATAGTGACCCTATGAACAAAAGACCTGAGCACTGTTCATAGAGTTTCCGGAGGCAAGCTATTTCAGAAGTGCATGCCACTCCTGCTTCCAAGCTTGTTTTAATCAGGAAGCTCTAGCAAACACTGTCCACCATGGGTAACCATTATCACACTTGGCAATGCACAGACCAGTGCTATACCACTTAGAAGAATGTTTGACAAAACCCAGATTAAACAGTATAAGTGCCTCAGATTAAAATCACACACCTTGGGCTTGATAGCATAACTTCCTGTCCACTAGGCCAATATGTGTGTGTGTGTGTGTGTGTTGTTGAATGATCCTCCAGGTAATTATGTTATAGGTTGAGAAGTCTTTTTTATAGTTTAATGTTTCTGGCCAGTTACTGACTTAGGAAAAACAGGGAGAATGTTATTATGTGATTTCAGAAATAATTTATTACTGCTGTTTAGTATTATATCCTCTTATTGATGAACTTTATCTTTGTTCTATGCAGATTATTGGAGGAGCTTTTAGTTTCCTTGCAGTGGGGAAGAGAGCAGTCTTACTACCCTAATGCACAGCCCCACAGCACAGCAGGACTGGCGGTAACAAATCACAAGCTGGCAAAAGCAGTGAATTCTCATCTTCTTGGAAATGTTGGTAACAACAGTCAAAAGAGGATTCCAACCACAGTTGAATTCTGCAGCACCCCAGCTGAAAAAATGGCTGAAACGGTAAAATGTAAAAATGGCTGAAATGGTAAAATGTTTTTCTTCATCATGATTTCTGAATGGTGAAAATACTTTTCTCGCGATCTCCAAAAGGTTTCTTCTAACTGAAAAGTGACATGGTGTAATGGAAAGTGCTTGAAATTGGGAGCTACAAGTGGAGGCTTTAAACTCTCAGCCGTAGTACTCTCTCACTCTGATGAATTTGAGCTTAGAGGAAACTTATTTCCTCCTCTGACCTTTTTAATAACAATATTTTTATATATTCTTAAGTAGAAAAAAAATGCAGTTGTTTTGAAAGTAACTTATAGTTACAAATCATTGACAGTGAGTTTCTAGAGAAACTATTGTGGACTTTCTAATTGGTGATCATAAAGAGACAATAAGGTTGGCTCAGGATAGAGTAGGGTTCAGATGTGTTGTACATGGGGTTGCTATGAGTTGCAGTCAACTTGATAGCAAATAGCAACAAGTAGTTAATAAATTACTTCTGATCACTGTTAGTTCCACATATAAATTAGAATGTACCGAATGCAGTTACCCTCGTGGTAGAGTGGTTAAAGTCTACAGTTCAAGCCACCAGCCACTTCACAGAAGAAAGATGAGGCAGTTGGCTTTTGTGAAGATCAATGTCGTGGAAATCTTGTAGGGTAGTTTTCCTCTATCCTGTAGGGTTGCAAGGAGTTATAAGTGACTTAATATCAGTGTGGTTTCGATGTGATGCTGAATATTGTAGAAACAGATGAGTATAGATTCAGTTCTTACTGTCCAGGATGAACTTAATAGTCCATATACGTGACCCATCCAAGATAATGTTCTTACGTTCTTAACATTTCCAAAGCCACATTCAATTTCACCCCAGCTTTTCAATAACTGACTCCTCTCATCTTGGACTGTTATACTCTTAAATTTTTTAATTCGGTCTCTTCTCCATGATCTGTGAGTGCAGCTACTTTTCTTTCTTTCCATCTGTTCTTTTGTTGATTTCTCCTGTTCTATGACTGTGTCTTTCTGTTTCCTCAGGTCTCATTTAATCTTTTGTACATAATAGGTGTTCAACTTTTATTGCATGAATCAGTATCCAAAATGAACTCATATTTATTCAAAACCTTATTCCTGTTTTTCTGTTCTCTTTGCTGAGAAATTTGTTCTCTTTGCTTTCTCACTTGCTGCAGTAGCATTCAGTGTAGCTGACTGCTCCTTTCTTGAAGCACTTTCTTCTTGTCACCTGTGTAACCCTTGGCTTCTCCCCCCTTTGCCCATTTTGTTTCACTGTACACAGTTGAATATCCTCAGAGCTTGCTTTAAAGCTGCTGCTTCCATTTTATATTCTCACTGAAAGGATCTACCTGCATTCATTCTAGATATAAATAATCCTGAAATTTCTGTAAGCCATGCATGATTCTTTGCAAATTCTAGGCATGCTTAACTACTGTCTATATGCCAGTCTCACATTTGACTGTCAAAGAAATATCTCAAACTCAGTACATCTAAAATAGAACCCACTTTCTTGCCTGTATTTGCTGTTTTTCTAGTGTTCTGCATCATGTACCATCATATGCGCTACTGTTCGTCCCAGAAATGTAGTCGTCTTCCTTGATACCTGTCTTCTTCTTTCTTGTTGATTATTTTCCCGCATAACCCTCAAATTTATTCTTTGTCATAGTCTGTTTGCCCACCCTCTTTTGCCAGAATTACTAGCTGTTTCCTAATTTATTTCCTTGCATAAGGGAAAACAGAAAAATGAGAGAAGAATTGAAGTGCATGATGTCATGGAACCCAAAGACCTAATTGTTTGCCCAAGATAGTGCATATCAGTTTTAAAATGAGCTCTTAAGAGTGTTCATCGTGTTTGAAAAACACATTGCAGTAGAGAATGCAGGCAGAATTCTCATTACAAGCAGGTGAATGAAGGATTGAAGAAGGAAGGCAGTGGATTCCGTTGTGTCAAAGGTTAAAAATTGGTATCATTTAAAGAATTGATAACCTTATTTTCTTCTAAATGTCCATGTTTTTTTATCAATATCTGTAAGAAAGCATTGATACCATCATAAAAAATAGGCAGCCCAGATAAAAATCATTGTTTAAACTTTTTTAATAAAGAACTAGTTCTTTTTTCTCAATTAAATTCCTCAATGGAATGTTATTTTTTATGATAGCACATATTAATGAAATAATCTCTCTATACCTATGAAATGATGCACACACACATTATTATTAAAAAAAAGGCACCTTCCAGTTGGTTTCCAGCCATTATGACCAGAGTAAGACTACTGTAAAAGGTTTTCACCAAAGCAGATTGCCATGGCTTTCTGTATGCTGGGAGGTGGGATTGAGCTGCCAACCTGACGATTAGGAGTTTGGTTTATGTATATGTGTGTGTGCACATGCATGATTGAGCTAACAGCTGGGTTTTACAGTCTGTGTTGTTAAAACTTACATTTGACCTTATCTTTATTTTCCTTAGATTCTACACATTTTGGATCCAGCTACTTGTACTGAAACTTCACCTGGCAGCCCATTTTCTGAGTCTTCACCCGCTGCCTTTCTCACTACAAAGAAAAACATTGGACGATTTCATCCCTATACTAGATATGAAAATATAACTTTCAATTGCTGTAATCATTGCAAGGGAGAGCTTATTGCCCTTTAACATGCATTAGAGGCATGATACAAGCACCTCCTGTAACTCAAGCATCATTATTATTATTATTTGGGAGCCATGGTTCTGTTGCTAAAAAGTAATATCACTTTCTGCTTAAATGACATATCTTTCCAAAGACATGATGTAATGGACTCAAGATTACCCTTTCATAATAAATATCTCAGGGTAAGAAAAGAATAAAACTATAAATATATTTACACTGGAAAATACATTGTAGGCAGTGTCTTTTACTTTTCCTCAAGAATTTTATAAAAGTTCTGTATCAGCTCCTTTAACTCCAAATTATTTCTCTTCCTAGGTATTTTATAAGAACTGGTTTCATTTTAGTACTTTATTTTTTTTTCAGATAATTAATTCATTATTTTATTCACCCCACCCATCAATGTGTGTCTACTCATCCATTCACCCACCAACTCACCTATCTCCTTCATCTATCATCTACTAGTTAATTCATTCTATTCACTAATACACTCCTTTATTTATCTATCCAACTATTCATAAATCAGTCTACTTACCAAGCTACCCACTCGTTCAGCTGTCCATGTATTAATCCAAGTACAACATTGTGGGTGATAGGATTATATCCATATGCTTACATGGAAGTCCAGTGAACACCACTATCATTCAGATATATGCACCAACAACCAGAGCCAAAGAAGAAGAAATAGATGATTTCTACCAACTCTTACAGGCAGAGATAGATCGAACATGCAATCAAGATGCATTGATAATAATGGGCGACTGGAACGCAAAAGTTGGGAACAGGGAAGAAGAATCAGTAGTTGGAAAACATGGACTTGGTGACAGAAATGAACCTGGAGATAGAATTATTGAATTTTGCACAATCAATGATTTACTCATTGCAAATACGTTTTTTAAGAGACATAAACGTAGATTATACACAGGGATTTCACCTGATGGTATGCATAGGAATCAGATCGATTACATCTGTGGAAAAAACCGCTGGAGAAGCTCAATATCAGCTGTGAAAACTAGGCCAGGAGCTGATTGTGGAAGAGACCACCAACTACTCATATGCAAGTTCAAGCTGAAGCTGAGGAAAATTAAACCGAATCCACAGGAGCCAAAATATGACTTTAATTTCATCCCACCTGAATTTGACAATCATCTCAGGAACAGGTTTGAGGCCTTGAACACTAATGAGGGAAGACCAGATGAGTTGTGGGAGGATACTAAATGTATCATCCAGGAAGAGTGCAGGCGGTCATTACAAAGACAGAAGAGGAAGAGAAGACCAAAATGGATGTCAGAAGAAACTCTGAAGATTGCACTGGAACTAGAGAAGCCAAAACACAAGGAAGAATCCAAGACTCATTTTAGTACTTTAAAACAGGGATTGGCAAACAGTTTTCAGAAGCCAAGCCTGGCCAGATGAATTCATGTATTGTTGTCTGTGGTTACAGCTGCACAGCCAACAGCAGAGCTGAATAGATTCACCAGAGCTTGTGTGGTCTATGAAGACTGAAATACTTACTACTTGGCCTTCAACAGAAAAGTTTTCCTTTCCCCTGTGCTCTAATGTAATACTAGCTGAACAGAATGTCTTTTAGTTTTGGTGCCCTTTTTTGGTAGGTTTTAAGAGACTTGTAGAGGTCAGGGGCTTAAGCACAGATTGTGAGGATGTCACAGGATCAGGCAGTGTTCAGTTCTGAAGTACATAGATAGGCTCACCACACTGTTGTTAGATGCCATCTAATGGACTGTGAGGCATTACCTAAGAACAACAGATTTAAGCCATGCCATGTACAGTCCTGTCATCATGACCTCCTTCCTGCTCAAGCTATTGTTACGGTCACTTTGAATCCATCCTGTTGAGGGTCTTCCTCTTTTTTGCTGAGCCTCCACCTTTCCCAGCATGATGTCTTTTAACAAGAACTGGCCCCTCTTGACACTAAGGAGCCACCCTGATTGTGTTTCCTTCATAATTGTGTATTCTTTTGGCCGCCCATGAAATGTTCAGTACCTTTCAAACCACAGTTCAAAGGCATGAATTCTTCCTCAGTCTTCCTTATTCATTGCCCAACTTGTGCATACGAAGCAACTGAAAATATGGCTTAGTTCAGATGTACATTAATCTTTATAAACTACCACCCTTGCTCTTTTAAGCACTTTTTATAAAGTCCTTGGGAGTATATTTCTCCACTGCAACATATTTTTTGTTTTTAACTGTTGGTACTACAGTTGCTGATTATGTATCCAGGTAAAATGAAATCGTTGTCAACTAAAGTCTTTTCTCTATCATGATGTTCACTATTGGCCCAGTGGGTCGCTGTGAGTGGAAGTCAATTCAGGCATCTTACAACAAGAGCCACAAAGGGGTTATTAAAAATAAATACTATCTGCAAGGAAGACGAGGGGCTCTGATCATATCCTTATTAAGGCACTCACCTGCTAACCAGAAGGTCCAGAGTGAAAGCCCACCAGCTGCTCAACAGGAGAGATGATGCAGACTGCTTCCAGCCGTGGAAAAGCCAACTACCATTTCTGTTCTGTCTTGGGGCTTTCTGTGAGTCAGAATTGACTTGATGGCAGTGAGTTTAGTTTGATTAACAAGGAAAATATTATATAGCCAAATTAGCAAGTGCTTCAGTAAACATGTTCTTTTGTTGTTCTTGTGCAAACATTTCTTAAACCTAATAGGTACAACCTGAACTAATGGTCTTATTTTGGCAAATCGAGCACACAACAGGAATATCAAATATGATCATTTACAAAATATGATGAAGGTAGTGTTAGAACATTTTATGAACTTGATATATGAAATCTATACTTGGACCAAGATGCAGTCGTCAGAACAGAGCAAGGAGACACTACATGGTTCAAAATCAAGAAGGGGGTTCATCAGGGATGTATTCTGTCTCCAACCTTTGCAATCTGTATGCAGAACAAATCATCTGAGACGCTGGGCTGTACGAGGAGGAATGTGGCATCGGGATTGGTGGAAGATTCATCAACAACCTGCATTATGCAGATGACACAACCATCCTTGCTGAAACTGAGGAGGACCTGAAGAGCTTGCTTCAGAAGATCAAAGACTGCAGCCTCCTGTATGGATTGAAGCTCAACATCAAGAAAACAAAGATTTTCACCACTGGGCCAATTGGCAGCATCGGGGTGGATGGTGAAGAGATTGAGATAGCTAACAGTTTTAGTTTCCTTGGCTCCACAATCAAC